GAGTTCTAGTTCTAACAGTCATCTGATTAAATCTATACTTTCTTGGGAAATGGTATTTTGTAGGAAACAGGATGATATTTTAAATGTTTTTCTTACATCAATGGCATGATATGCCTTAATGGTACTGTTCTGTGGCTCACATGGTTTCAGTAATGCTTTAATATTTCTGCTGTGAAGCTTGCAATAGAGTATTTTATCAGTTTTAAATGTTGGCTGCACCTTTTTGTGATCTTTTGCAGTGTAGTAAGTTCACAAGCTAAACTTTAAGAGACAATTTTGTTTCAGATTATGCCTCTTGTCTATTTGGAATCAATATGGTCTTTTCAATCATGGGATTAATAAACAAAAAATAGTTATTTCTTAATCTAAAAATAAGCTAACACTGAGTTACATTGGGCTGAAAGAAACAAATTCAGTATTTATTGCTATTTCTTGCTAGTCATAAAAATTGAAACCAAAAAATATCAACCAAGGTTACTGCCAAATACCCTACAAACCCAAAACAAAGAACCATTAAACAAACAAAACACTATTGTGGATATGGAAAACTTCAAACAGAAAATAAAAAGAACAGTACACTGCACCCCTAAGTACTTCACCCAGCTTCAACAATCAGAAACACATACCCAGCTACCTTTTGTCCATACGTCCCTGTCCTTTCCTCTTTCAATAAATGAAAACCTAGACATAGTATTTCGTGTGTAAATATCTTTTATGTATCTCTAAAAGGTAAGGCCAAACAACTGCCATGTAACTTTGGGAGCCATGTCATTCCTACACTGCAGGAGCCAAAGGGGAGATAAAAATTCATGAGACCAAATGGTCCTGGAAAGGGGAGAGGTACACATATGGGCAGATACAATCTATAAAGCCAATAAAACTGTCAACTCCGTTAGTAATTAAGAAGAGAAATTAAAATGTACCATTTTAAACCCTTACATTGCCTAAGTATGTGGGAACAATAAAAACCTCTGGTAACTAGTTGGAGGATAACAGAAATTCTTATACCCCACTGGTGAAAGTGTAAAATAAAAAATAAAAAGAAGGGGCTGGGGATTTAGCTCAGCGGCACAGCATCTGCCTGGCAAGCGCAAGGTCGTGAGTTCAATTCCTGGTACCGGAAAAAAACAAAAAAAATTAAAAAGAAGTTGGGGATGTAGCTCAGCATGAAGGCCCTGTGTTCAATCCCTGGTACCACCAAAAAGCATATAATTATAATAATAATCATCATCATCATCACATAAAGATGTTTATACATATGCAATCACCATTTTTTTAATTGTAAAAAACCTGACAAATTAAATGACAGTAATAGGGGACTATCTAAATAATGATTTTATGTAGACAGGCATAGTGATAAACACCTGTAATCCCAGTACTAGGGAGACTGACGCAGGAGGATCACCGTGAGTTTGAGGCCAGCCTGAGCTACACAGTGAGTTCACAACAAAAAAAGATTTTATGTTTCTGCCAAGCGTAGTGGCACACACCTATAATCTCAGCTAGCACTCAGGAGGCTGGGGGAGGATTGGTGCAAGTTCAAGGCCAGCCTGGGCCACACAGCAAGACACTGTCTCAAAGAAAACCAAATAAATAAATAAAAACTTAAAAAAATAAATAATTTGAATTTCTAACATAAATGGCAAACTAAACAACCTGAAATACCTCCCATTACATAACCTCTCAAGTGCTACAAAACTATTATACATTCATAAAATAGAAAAAACTATCAAGGGCAAAATCAGTGCAGAAGACAGAATACAGAAGAGTAGACCAGCCTGAAACCCTGGCTTGCCTTGGACCAGCACTAGGAACCCACAGCCTGGCCTGCCATGGACGAAATGATTTCCTATGAAGTCTGATAACGGCTTTAAAATACCCCTGGCAAAGCAGCAAGAATAAAAGCTTTGTGTGTTCTGGACACAGAAACAAAACACAAACATATTTACTGAAGCCAGGAATTCATTATACCATTTCTCATTTGTTTCGTAATCACTTGAATATTTTTAATTATAAAAGGTAAATATATGCAATGGCAGGGTGCATGTGTGTGTACATGTGCATGTGTAAATAACAAAGGTCCATAACAGTGATACACTACTGAGTAACAACAAATTAGGCAAGGTGCCTTATGAGGCACTAAGATCTATTTTAAAGCTATGATAATTAAGACTCGGGTAGAGAAACAGATCAAATGAAACAGCATCGAAACCCTAAAATTAAACCAACAAAAGCAATGACATTTTATCCACATACATACACTGAGTATCTTCATATACACCAGAAAGGACACTGCAAACCAGTTCAGGGAGCAGGGACTGTTCAACAACACTGGCATAATAGGTTGTCCAGAAAAATGTATCTATTTGGAATAAATTAAATGTGAACTATAAAACTTTGTAACTTCAGAAGGAGACATGAGGGAAATTCTTTTCTTGTTTTTGTTTTGGGGACAGTTTTATTATGTAGTTCAGGCTGGCCTTGAACTCACTATACAACCTAAGCTGGCCTTCAATTTGTGGTGACCCTCCTGCCTCAGCTTCCTGACTGCTGGAATTACAGGTGTGACCCACCATGCAAGGAGGCTTAAGAGAAATTTTTTCAACTGCAAAGTAAGAATCAATCAATCAATCTTTCTCTCATTCACTCCTTCATTCATTTATTCCTTTTTTGCTGTTGGATTTTTTTAGGACAGGATCTAGCTATATAACTCAGGCTGGCCTCAAACTTTTGCTAATCCTCCTGCCTCACTTTCCCAAAGGGTGAGCTTATAGACACCTCGCAGTTTTCTTAAGACTCAGAAGAGCACAAACAGTAGATTGACAGAGCTGATTTTCTTAACATTCCATTCAAGAAAAGACTCTTTAAAGCTAAAAGATACACCTGGTCAAAGACTATAGAAACACAATTATAATTTACCAAAAGAAATAGAAAAATATAAAAAAATCAATTAATAGAAGACAAAATATACATCACTATAAATACAAGAAAAAGCCCTTACTCTGGTAATCCGAAAGATACGAAAGAAAAACGTGAGGTAACATTTTGCCTATCTCATACTGACCAAAGGTTAAAAGACCAATTAGCAAGCATTGGTGGGAATAAGGAAAACTATGTATTCTTGCATATTCCTGGTGGGAACAGAAAATTGCACAACCATTTTAAAGAATCATTTGACAAAATCTAGTCAAGTTGAAGACATCCAAATCCTGCACTCATCAATTCTGCTATTAGGTAAAACTCAAGAAAGAACGTCCACTCATGTATATAAAAAGTTAAATCACACCAGCACTGTTTATAAAAGCACCAAATAGAAATAATCTAAGTGTTCATAAATAAGAAAAGGAATAAATTGTGGTAAGGCCTTCTAATGGAATACTATGCTACAGAGAAGAGACAAACTAGAGTTACACACATTAACCTGGACTAACTTCACATTTGTGTTGACCTAATTAAGGCTACTTGTAGAATATATGATTTGTATGTTTAAAAATTGCAATTGGAATAACATAGTTACTATATAGAATAAAAATCCTGGGTTTTTTTGTTTGTTTGTTTTTTGAGACAGGGTCTTACTATATAGTTCAGGCTGGCCTTGAGCTCACTTTATAACTCAGGCTGGTCTCAAACTTGCAAAGATCCTCCTGCCTCAGCCTCCCAAGTGCTGGGATTATAGGTGTGCACCACCACACCCGGCTAGAATAAAATCTTAAGAAATGCATAGGAATGATAAATAATTTTAGCACAGGGATTATCTGTGTGGAGAACTATATGGGGAATGTCCACTGGTCTGATAACAAAGGTTGACTGAAATTATTTTTATGTCTTCTTGAATATCTTAAACATTTCACGTCTTTTTCTTTGGGGTAGGCTCTTACTATACAGTTCAGCCTGGCCTCAAACTCATGACCCTCCTGCCTCAGCCTTCCAAGTGCTAAGATTACAGAATGCACCACCACACCTGGCCATAATATATTTTTAAAATATTAGTAACTTTAATGACAACAATGTAATATTGTTTAACAACTAATAAACAACATTGTAGATATATCTTTATCAACATGGAAAGATGCTAGGATACATCATGAAGCCATTTACGCCGAAGATTGAAATTTTTTAAAATTTTTGCATAAAATTCATACATGTTACCTAGAGAACACATTTCATTATGTTTCACTATAATGGGCAGTCCTAAAATGGACCACTAAGCATTGAAGGGTTAAATAAAAAACAGATGACAAAAGACTGCTGCTCTGGCCTAGGGTGTAGCTTAGTGGTAGAGCATTTTTCCACGATGGTCAAGGTCCTGGGCTCAGTTCCCAGCATAAAGGAAAATAAAACAAAACAAAAAAGGCTTTAAAAAGCACTCTTCTTGTTTTTAAAGCATTCATAAATGGACATAATTATTATTACATATTTTTAAAGTTTAGAAAGATATACATCCAAAATATGAACCGTAATTACCTGTTACGGATGATTTTGCTTTTTAATTCTGCTTACTTCTAGTTTCTAGTTTGGGGCTAATCAATAATCTTACTTGGGTGATAATACTAAATTCTTTTAAAATGAGGGGTAATCTATTAAACAAAATTCTACTGATAAGTTTTAGAAATAAAATCAAAGCCAACTATGGATCGTTTTTCATTACTGTTGTATCACAGACATAAGTAAATCAGTTAGCTAATAAACTATAAAGTTGAATTTAATGTATTTCCAAATTTCCAACTTAAAATTATTATGAAACATTCTAAAGGAAAAGAAAATACACACCTTATGGTATTATAAGGTGGCCAGCTCCCAATGAACGGACAGGATAGAATACTCTCCCGCTCTTTTTCAAACACACACACACACAAACACACACATACCTGCAGCCAGGACATTTAACAGCCAAGAAGTATGCGCAATGGGGAATCTGGGCCGGGAAGCACAGGGACACCTGCATGGACACCCGGCGAACGGCACCAGGGCTTTCCCATGAGCAGTACTATTTAAATTACCTTCCGCCGCTCGTCATCTGGATAGGTCCAATAAGAGATACAGTTTCCAGAAAGAACACACCATCTTCTATGCCAGGCACCAAAGCCACTTACGTCTTCAAATATAGTCTGGAAAGTCAATTGAAATGCTGACATTAGAAACTCAAAGAAAATTTCTTAACAGTGAATGGCTATTCTACATGGGAGGTTTCTGTATATTGTCATCATCCATGTCAAAATCTATTTAAATGAATTTGATTATGTCGTTAACAATTTCCAAACATTCACATCAGAGGTTAACTATAACATCATCTGCATGCCTTTAAGAACATCCAGATATTACCCCCAAATAAATATCTCCTCCTAATTTCAGGCTCTTCAAAAGCATGGTATCCCCATTAAAGGCTCCGAAAAGAAGGGGGTTAGTTCCTCATTTACTGGAGAGGGGACAATATGAATGCCATACCTTTTTTTTTTTGTTTGGGGTGGGAGGTTTAAGATAGGGTCTCACTAGGTGGTTCAGACTGGACTTGAGCTCACTATGAAGCCCAGGCTGGCCTCAGTGACCCTCCTGCCTCAGCCTCCCAAGGGCTGGGATTACAGGCGTGAGGCACCACATGCGGCAATACAGTACATGTTAAAACATTAATGACAAAATATTAAGCTAGAACTATCTTCCTATGTAAGACTGGCATTTAATTTTTATTCAAGAGAACAGTTTTCTAAGAGGGTTAAAAGAGTCAACTCATGATGAGCGGCCCTGCTGAATCCCTGCGATAACCCTCAGAAATGCTGGTCTGCTGCTGGGCCGGCACCACAGGAAGCAGCATCGCCCTGCAGTCGGGCACCAGGCCAACCTCGCCTCCAACATACAAGGGACGTTCTGCAGGGAGCAGGGGGCGCTGAGGCCACACACGGGTCTGCAGACACTGAGACTTATCAATCTGCGCTTTCTTCCAATGAAATAATTCTATGTAAGCAGAAATATAAGTAGAAGCTCTACTTGTAATCACAACAGAGCCCTAATTTATATAAAACCCCTACTTTTAATTATAATTATTTTTCTTTACAAACTTTTATGCTAGAGACCAAAGCAAGGAAAAGAACATTCACGATGCTGTAGATCATGGGTCAGAGCCCTCTCCCCTCAGAGCCGAGAGTACTCCGGGCTTAAAGGCCCAGAGCGTCTGTCACACTCAGCTCTCCTGCTGGGGCCCAAAGAGCCACAGTGGCTGCACATCGTCTGCCTCCTGTGCTGCCCTGTGCTGCAGATGATCCGAAGGCAGCTTTGTGTTTGATTTACAACACATCAAGACCTTTGCACCTTTCAAGTACAATGTCCCCTTTCTGACAGTTGGATAGCTAATAAAAAACTAATGTTATTCGGTGCTTTCTGTGAGAAGCACCTCTATAAATACATTTTTAAAATTATCTCAACCAATCTTTACACCAATCCCATGGTGGTATGATATACACTCTTTTCAATTCCCTAATTTATGGGAAGCTCCCACAGGTACTTTGAGTGAGGAAGGCAAGCTCTGGCCAAGGAGGAAAGTTTCTGGTGTGAGAGGAGGTGTTTCCATGCTAGACTGAGGTTCACTTATTAGCTGAGTTAATTAGCCTGCTCCAAGCAGAGTCCCCCCTGCCCTGCCTTCTCCGCTCCCCTCACTCCTTCCCCTAAAGTGTGCCTCTCTGGGCAACACTGCTTACAGCCCAGGAAGGATACAGGAATCTTATTTCACTCTTAGGTGCAAAAGTTAGTACAGATGGATCACCAGCTCCCTCTTGTGTCTACGTTCACCTTTCACATCACACAGGCAATGAACAGACAAAGATGCTGATGAGAATAACAATTACTGTCACACCATACTGTACTCAGAGAGGAAGGAAAGAGTGGCCTTTTCATCCTTATAGCAAAGGAAACTGAGGGCCAGGGAAATTAAGTGATGACAGTCAGAGGAAGAGCACCCCTGTCCTGCTGTTCACCAATAGAAGCTGAGCCGGCCCAGGACAGGTTTAGAACCTGAACCAGTCTCTCAGGGGCCAGGCATCCTCCCCGGGCTGCCCTGGCTCACCAGGAAGGGATGGGGTTTCCCTTTCCATTGCAGAGAGCTGGGGTCCTGAAAACGCACTGTTCAGGCATGGGACAGAGGATCTGTGAAGGAGTCCTGAGCTCTTCCTCACAACATCTCTCTATGGATGTGATAGAAACAGCCCGTAGGATTCGAGATAGAATGAACTTGATTGCATCTAACTAGAGACCAGCTCAAAAACTAAATAGGTCACGCAATGCATGGAAATGAACTGGCTACTACAACAGGGCCTAGCAGTTGCTGAAGATGTCTACAATGAACTATGACAATATTTACATCAAAAGAGAATGTCAGAAAGTAAACACAGCTTTCAAGTCAGGAATTGTTTTTAAAAAGTCTTTCCAAGACTATTTAGTGCCACCTGCTGGATTTACATGTGAAAAAGCTAAGAAGGAACAGCTATGTTCCTAGGGTCTGTCAGAAGTCCTGGGCCAGGTGGGCTTCTGCTACAGTCCAGCTCTTCTTTCTCACGTTCAACAGCAACTCCACTGGTCTGCAACTCCAATCAGACCGTCCTCCCCAGCCGCCCCCTACACTCGCACACACTCCCACACTAACTCCAGCCATCCGAGACACCTGCCCCTGTCCCAGTGGGCCACCCTTCTCTTCCCCGGGTGAGTGGGCACAGGAAGGGAACTGCAGACCCTTCCATGCCCCTCTTTCCCGGATCCCTTCTCTCCCCAAGGGCTCCAGTCAGTGGCTCCTGAGTTCCTCCTGCTCCCTGCTCCCTTCGGCCTCCCCGGTTTCCTCAGCACAGTTAGGGTGGTTTGGCGTCCAGGCTGCACACTCTACACGCTTGCCTACCACAGGTGCTGCACTGCGCCTGCTGCTTCACTGGTGCTTCTCCCTTGAGTGGAAGGTTATTTTTTGTGACCTATTCTATTCCGGTAGCAGTGTAGGGGAAAGGAGTCCATAAAACTGGGTGCTACACTGTGCTTGCTGCTTCACTGGTGCTTCTCCCTTGAGTGGAGAGTTTTTTGTGACCTATCCTATTCTAGTACCAGTGTAGAAGAAAGGAGTCCGTAAAACTGCGAGGGCCTTGTTGGTCTTTCTGGCCAACCCTGACCAGAAAGAGTTAAAACTTTACTAGAGGAGTAATTAACAAGAAAAGAGAAAGCTGATCAGCCACACTCTAACCAAGTTACCCGGAGCCACCCCTCCCCACCTTACAAAGGGCAGGCTTAAAAGACAGCTCTTTATGTAGTGCACAGTACAGTAGTGTGGCGAACACTTTAGTTTGCTAACAGAAGCATTTGGCAAAATTTTGTTTTCGTTTGCAAACTCTGCATTGAGTAAGCACAACCAAAGCTATTTCTTCCAAAATCGTAGAACAAATTAAATTCGTGAACCCAGGTACCATTGTCTATACTCTCGTTATGTTTCCCTTTACTTAATTGCTAACTCGACATTGTATGTAAGGTCCCTTTAACCAACTCATAAATTCTAGAGATAGTCTGACAGGACAAGGGAAAGCAAATAAAGAGCACTTAAGAATGTGCACATAGAAGATGACACAGGGTGAGGGGTCTTGGGCACTGGGATCCATCTATGACATCCCAGGAAACCAATCAGGTAATGACAAATTCCAAGTAGGGGAAGATCCGTAGCACCCAATGAAAACAGCCAAGAACCAGTGGCCCTCAGGTCCTCTATTTTCCCAGAGCCCCTTACTCTGATTTAACAGGGTAGCTATCTCTCCTCCCTTTTCCCCCGTTCCAATAAAGTACCCAACAAAATGTTTTCCTTTCCTTAAACTTTGTGCACTTATTCCTTTACTGATATGCAGTTTATGAACCCCAGAGCTGCCTTCCCCCCACAGGCATGGGCACCCACACTTGCCCCCAGGAAGCGACATCAGCACAGCGACTGGTATACAGAAGAGAGGCAACAAGTCTTTACCGAACCAGTTTACACTTAATCACAGGCTCCCCTTCCCACGGGACCCCAAGTCTGTATTTCACAAAATGGAAAAAAAGAAATAAAGATCAAGCGATGTTACTTACCAGGAAACCTTTTTCTTCAGCACTTGAATTCACTTGACAGTTTATTTTTAAACAAATGTGACCTTCCAAAGGAGACAAAAAGGGCACCTGCCAACAAAGAGGGTAAATTAATTGCAAAACAGTTTTCTGAGTGCTGTGATTTTTCTTTATAAAACATGTATAAATCATGAAAAATGGCTATAATGTCTAGAAAATATATCATTTTCTAAATGCGGGCTGTAAAACGTGGCCACAAAGCCTGTTTCCTTAGCAACAAATGCTTTTGAAGAATAAATTCATTCAAGGTAGAGCTTGACAAAAACAAATGTCTAAATCCCCAATTAACGTGGGAAAGAAAAACATTTAAAAATAGAACACATGCATGTATCCATTCTCCACCAACAGGAGAATATACCCCAGAGAGCCTGAATAAACCAACCACCCAAATTGATACAATATATATCACACGGCAGTAAAGAACAAGCTGTAGAAATGTGAATGCCAATCTTCAAATTCATATGAAACTGGAAGTTCCAAATAATAAAACAATTTTTTTGTTTGTTTGTTTTTGGTATGGGGAATCAAACTCAGGACCTTGCGCTTGCCAGGCAGGCACTGTGCTACTGAGCTATATCCCCGGTCCAGCATAAAACAATCTTAAAGAGGGAAAAAGTTGGCAGACTTCTATGTACCAGTTGCAAAAACTAATTCAAAGAGCAAGCAATCAAAAGATATGGTACTGATGTAAAGACAGACGTACAACATATGCAATGAAACTGACAGCCCGGAAAGCAAATCGTATATCTGTGGCCAACTGACTTTTGACAAGGATGCTAAGACCAATCGTACTGCAATAGAAGCAAATTTTATGTGTGTGTGTGTGTGTGTGTGTGTGCACAAGTGCATGGCACGCACAGTGCTGGGGATCAACCAGGACCCCGCACTTTTGGGGCAAGAATACTACCACAGAACTACAACCCAGCCCAAATTTCTTTAAGGAAAGGAACCTAAACCTGTCACAGCATATTCTTAGCAACTTAATAATGGTTCGGCTTATAATTTTTTTTATTTTATTAAAAATGCAAAAGCAATATGCATTCAGTAGAAACTGGAAATTTTGAATTCTGATCTTCTCTTAGTTTAGCAATATGTGGCATAAAAACTCTCTTAATACTTTTTCCAGATGCTGCACAGCAGCAGGAGCTATAGCTGGCAGTCAGCCATTCAACCAGGAAGGAAAGAACTGTTATCTGCAACGCACAACACTGCCAGAGAAGGAAGATGCTAGCTTTAACCTGGCTGTGAAAGCCAGTGTTGAAATGTATCTGAAGAACTGAGTTCAATGCAAAGGTCTGAATTGGCCTAAATACACACCAGAGCCCATTACTGAGATGATTCTCACTCTCAACCTCAGCTGACTTGCTAGCTATGGATACACATATACAAACATTATTCCTCCATTCTGTCCACTCAGTTTATTCCAGTGTGCATTATAAGAGGGAGATACATGAAGGAATTCTACTTAGGTGCTCTGAGTTCCAGTTCCAAACATGACGTGACGTTCACAAAAGACCACCAGCTCTACTGCAACAACACTAACGCACTGGCTTCACTTTAAAACTTTATTTTCCTTAAACACATCAAAGAGCTATGGAAGCAGAGAGGGGGCAAAAGCATATCAACAGAACACAGATGAGCTAAATGTTGGAATTCAAACACAAGAACATTTGCAATGTCTTAAAGAATTCAGAGGGAAAAGATTAGCAAAAGTGGGCAATAAGATAACTTCAGCAAAGAAGCTACAAGATCTGGATGAAAATTTCAGAACTAAAAAGATGCCTGAATTAAGGAATTTATTGGATAGGGTTTTCAGGAGATGAGGGAATATCAGGAAAAGATGGACTGGAAAACAGCTAGAAATGATTAAAAATGAAGCACGAAGAAAAAAATTTATGAAAACAAAAAATGTGCCACAGACCTATAAGAAAATGATCAGAAGTCTAACGTGTACTTAAAGAAAGAACTGAACAGAAGAAATACTTCAGTAATACAGCAATACCTCGCTTTACAAATGCTTCTGTCCATGAACACTTTGGTTTGCAAACAGAGGCATTAGCAAAAATTTGCTTCCATTTGCAAACTCTGTGTCAAGTGACAAATAGGACTGTGGCATCTTCTCTGTAACTGCAGAACAAATTAAGTTCACAACTGGGATACCACTGTAATAGTTTGACAATCTGCCAGGACTTACAAAATACACAACTGCAAATACAGAAAAATCTCAGTGAAACCTGGCAGGTTAAATATAAAACATCAGAACAAAACTGTTAAAATCACAACCAAAAAAAAAAAAACAAAACACTGAAAAGAGAAAAGAATCATGGTTGACTTAACAGAAACAACTGCAGCTAGAAATCAAGAGATTAACATCTTTAAAAGGGTAAAAAAAGAAAAACCCGCTAGCCTAGCATCTATACCTAGCGAGAATATACTCAGTTCTAGGTCACAATAGAATGGAGGATGCTATCATCATCAGCTGTCTTTCCTGCTGCTTCATGGAAAAGAATGATATCCTTACCCAGGTGCAGTGGTGTACTCTTCTAATCCCAGCACTTGGGAGGCTGAGCTAGGAGGATTGCTATGAGTCAAAGTCAGCCTAAAGTACATAGCAAGACCCTGTCTCAAACAAACAAAAATAAACAAACAAAACTAGAGGCTGTAGTTTAGTTCAGTATCCCTATTTTGGATCCTCAGTGGCACCAAGGGGAGTAAAAAAAGAAGGAAAGAAGGAAGAGAGGCAGAGAGGGAGGAATCAATCCCTAGATGAATAATCTTAGCTCAATAACTTTGAAAAGTTTTTACTATAAGGTTACTTTCCAACAATTTGATCAAATCCATGAGATGAACTTGTCACTTTCTTTAGAATCAAAACATCATACTATTCCTTGACGATTCTTCTGCCTTTTATTTTTCCATGTGGTCTATTTTAAGCTCCTTAGGCCCCTTTCTCCCAATGCTTATTAACAGAACTCCATTGGTTAGCCCAGAGACTGCTGCTGGCAGACAAAATCTCGGAAAGATGAGAAAATGCACTCTCCCACTCTGAGGCTGCAGTTGCAGGTGGTATTCTTGGTTGGAAGCTGGTCCTAACACAGAAATGAGTCAAGAATGCTCACAAGGTTAAGCCTGCTATTCCCTGTTGAGCATGGAGACTTGTGTGAAAACACTGCAATCCTAACCCATTTAACAAAGGACTGTTTTAAGACATCCACACTTCAATGATTATTACTAAGAGATGTTGAATGTAGTTAATTATATGAGTGGTGTAGTTAATTATACACTGGCATATGTTCGCACAAAAGGAGCGCTATTAATAATTACACAGGCCAACAGGCACACATTAGATGGCTTTAGACACACCAGGATGCCTAGTCATTCGACCTCTAACACAAAATTCTGTAACTCTGGTTGTTTTACTTTGTAACTTTTGTTCTAATAATTTTTACACTGACTTCTACTTCCCAAAAAGTATAGACACTTCAGAGGTCATTAAGTCAGAAAATGAGCTTTGGGATGTTCTTCTCCCTTTATCTATAAATCTTGTTTTGAATTCCCTATTTGAAAGGGTTTGAGAGTGTGACTCACTGAAATTCATCATTTAAATTCTAGGATGCAAGGCTTAAGATCAGATTGAATCAGATTATGTGTAAACTCATATAAAGTGGCAAAGCACTGCTCACGGTACCTTAACTCTGCAGAGCAAAGAGACTGGGTTAACCTCCACTGAAATTCCATTCTGAAGGGGATTTCAAACTAACTATGTGACTCGCAATAATACCAACTGTATTACTGGTCAAGACACTCCCTTATACTGGTAGTATCTGGTAGGAAACATCAGACCTGTCTGCTCTCTCAATGTTAATTAAATAGAAATATCATGTTGACATAGAAGGCTTACATTTTCCCAGCAACTTAAAGAACAGCTGAACTTAACTATCATAAATATTCTACATCAACTGCAAGCAACTGGAATAAGCATTTGCTTCCCTATCACACACAAAATCACATTTGGTGCTAATTTCATATCAAAATCATATTTGACTCAGAAGGAGACTTAAAAGACAACCAACTAAATTCAATGATTTGATTTTTCATTCAATATGATAGTCAGAAATTTAAGCTATGATAGCCAGATGTGGCAGCGCACGCCTGCAATCCCAGCACTCAGGAGGTTAAGGCAGAAGGATCGTTTCAAGTTCGAGACCAGCCTGGGCTACAGAGTCAATTCAAGGCCAGCCTGAACTGCATAGCGAGACCCTGTCTCAAAAAGAAAAAAAAAAGAAAGAAATTTAAGTTACAATTTCAAAGGAGGTATTAAGATAATGGAAAATATTAATGTTAACTTTTAAGTATGACATTTCAAATGAAAATAGCAGCCAAAATTTTTTCAAAAGAATGATTTCTATTTAATATATTTAACATATGTATTAAAATCTCACTTTAGAGACTAAGGAGGTCTCTTCCATATGTTGAAACTGGACTAGTGACAATGCTGATTAAGAAATACAGATCACAGAACCCCCATTTTTATGTTTCTCTAATTTGCAAACACCAAATCTTGTTTTAAGAATTTAAAATAAAATACTATCCAGCATTTTGTTCATTAGCATTTCTATAGTACCACAAAGGTCTGCAACGGATCTTTACAAGAATATTAAATATTTTAGGTCTTCTAAAATATTTATATTCAGTACAATTTTAGTGTTAAATACATTTAGCAATATTACAACTAGCTAATCGATACTATAAAAGCTTTCTATCTTTACTTTAAACATCACCAGTAATGCTTTCAATAGATTAAAAGGCCAAAAATATTGAGTAATTTTAAACAGTTTCTAATGTGGTATTATAATTAATACTCAGGAAAAAAACAATATTGAACTGAATATAAAAGTTTAAAGAACTATAAAACAGAAATCTACATAGAGAAAAAACCCAAATACCACACATGCCTGAAAACAAAAAAGAATTTTCAAAGAAAGCTTTAAAGAAGAAAAGATGTCCCTCTGTAAGAGTCCAAACAAAGAATATCTCCCATAATGTCCTTACTTATTTAAAATAACCCAAAGATAGAGAAGTAGTTAGTGAAAGAAAGACAAAAGGACTAGATATTAAGATTGATTTTTAGGTACATTAGTTTCAAGCAAAGAAAATTCGGCAACCTTTTCCTGGAACAAATAGCCCAGTAGCTCTTGCTCTTTTACATCATAATTTATCTAAAACAAACAAACAAAAAGACAAAGAGAAAAAAAAGACCCACAATCACTCATTTTTGTTAAATTAGCTGAATTATTAAATAAAAAGTTATGTAAATTTTTAGAAACGAACATATTAAAATATATTTATGGTTTAATAACCGTCAAAATGTCACCTATAGCCTGCTTTTTGTTCATCAATTACAAAAAAAGACCTTCACAGAATGTTAAACTTAGGTTGCTTCACACTAACCTAAGATTCTGTCCTAGGAAAGCAAACTCCCTGAGAAATACAGTGACTAATTCCATAATAAAGAGTAAATTATGAGCAGGACAGATACTTGAAACCAAGCCTTTTAATTTTTATACATTTTCACCTCTACATTCTGACTACAGATAGCTCTCATAAAATCGATCTGCATGTAAAATCGTGATTACTGGAGGCTGAGGAGTTAGGGGAAGGCGATGGAGACTGCACAACAGGTAACAAGACAAAAGGAAATATGCTCGTGTCCCATAGCACAGCAGGTGACTACAGTTTATAACAACCTGTTACATACTGTATTCTGTAAAGAACTAGAAGCCAGGAGCTTAAAGGATAAAACAAAGAAATAAGGAAGCCAGGTACTATGGTGTACACCTACAATCCTAGCTACTTAGGAGGTTGAGGCAGGGTGCTCACAAATTCAAAACCCAGCCTGGGCAACTTAACGAAACCCTGTCTCAAAATAAAATTTAACAGGGTCTGAGGATGTAGTTCAGTGGTAGAACACCTGCAGCAAATGCAAGAGGCTGGGTTCAACAACCCCCCCCCCGGGCGGGGTAGGGGTGATGAGTGGAAATGCTAATTACCCTGATTTGATCATTAGATACTGTACACAAGTGCTAAAATATCATAGTAGACTCCATAAACATGTTCAATTATTGTATCACTCAAAAAATTTTAAATTAATATTTTTTTAAATTATTGTATTATATAGCAAAAATCGATCCCCCCAAAAAAATTTGCTGCTAGTTTGCCACTTTTTTTTCTTGTTTTATGGTACCGGGAATCGAACTCAGACCTTGTGCTTGCCAGGCAGGCACTGTGCCACTGAGCTATATTCCTGGCCCTAGTTGACTTTTTAAATAGTCCTGTAAGAGGAAAATAAAGATAGATAATAGGAAGTAGGGAGACAGATCTTTTTCAAATGCGAAAGGGATCAAGAGATGGAGAGGTGGTGAGAGGATGGAAAGGAATAAAAAAAGAATTAAACTGTATTATGTGCATGTGCCAACTCTACATGAGGAGCCTAAGAATTATGTACTGCAAACATAATAAAAAATGGTCTTTTAGCTACTTAAAAGTTTAATTATTTCATATTATGGTGAAAAAAAATGATAGTGACATAATACAGATTTGAATTCTGAAGCTTTTAATTTGGGAGGGAAGCACAGAAAAGAAATCCCTTAGATTCAAGAGAGACTAATCTATTTTTCCCCGTTTATCAAAACTAAGTCTATAACATACTGCTCATTTCAAAATATGTTAGAGGTTCAAATAGGGAAACTGTTATGTTCAAAAACTACAAATTCAGCTGGGCATGGTGGTGCATGCCTGTAATCCCAGCACTCATGAGGCCAAGGCAGGAAGATAGCCATGAGTTCAAGATCAGCCTGGGCTACATGGTGAGTTCAAGGCCAACTTGAACTGCAGAGCAATGTCCTCTCTCAAAAAAAAAAAAAAAAAAACCTACAAATTTAACAACAAAATGTAAGAAGTGATACTTTTTAGTAAAAAGTAACAGAATATATTACTTTGAAGATCTAACTACAGTATTAAGCTATAAGCAAGACGGGCTGGGGATTTAGCTCAGTGGCATAGTGCTTGCTTGGCAAGCATGAGGTCATGAGTTCGATTCCCAGTACTGGAAAAAAAAACCAAAAACAACAAAAAAAAGATATACGCAAGAAATACTTCCAACATCATAAGATACACCATTTAGGTATACTTGGATCTAGTTAAAATGTGTGATTCTAAGAACATTTACTCATGGCTAAAGACTTCAAATACTTGAAAGCATTATGGCACTTTAACCTCAATTTTCTAAAATTATAAGAAATAACACAACATACTCAAAGTTGAGAGCAAATACCTTGTCAAGAGCAAACTTAGTGCTTCCTACTGACGATAATGACAGTGTGTAAGACCCAACGAGGGCAAAGTTGCTGGTGCGCACAGCGTGGAGGCCTCCTGGACTGGCCATAACTGTAAAGAAAGAGCCAGTGGTGCTCAGTTCAGTGACTTTTACAAGAACAAACAACCGTGCTTCACCACATACCAACAGGATGAAATTAAATTGCCCCAGGGAAAAATGTCTCATTTTTCCTGTTTTTAAATATGAGAGAAAACAGAGTAACACATTTGCTTAATGAAAGGAAATTACATAGAATTTTGTCTTTAAATGAGTACAAGCACTCCTTAATATTTGGAATGGATATGTTTGAAAGACTCAAAACCTAAAAGTAAATACTTAAAAGAGCAATTTTCTCCTAAGAAATACAGAAAGACTTCATCACTATTAATAGGCCAGGGTGACATAATTAGCAGCGGAGATCGAATCTGCACAGGTCTATTAGTAACTCTCTGTGCCACAGAGAAAAAGCCAATAGCCTAAAGGACGTGAGAGAAACCCACTCAATCCTGATCCCCTTTATAAAACGTAGGCCTCACGCCATTGTAGAGAAGGCCCTGGTTCACGGCACCCCAACACCTAGCAAACTGGAAAGAGCTTTCACGGCATGACATAGTGCCACTCGTGATGAGCACCGTGGAAAGAAGTAAGCGCCACAGTGTGGACAGCACAAAACAATCCACACAACAAGAGAAGCCTGGTGAGGACTGCTGCTCCCTGCCGACACTGCCTGGTAACTCAACACCGCATGTGACTGGACTGCCAGAGCCTGAATCCTGTGGTGGCTGGTGTCCTCCTGGGGTACCTGACAAAGGTACAACCCGACTGCATGCTATTCTGACCAGTAACCTTACATGTGACTAAAAACAAACCCATCTAGAAAGTATTATCCCAAAGCAGACCAGGGTAAACACTCAAAAATCAAGGTGGCCTACATATATATGAATGCATTTATATACATATACAATTGCTCAATTATTTTCCTTAGTCTAAACCTAAAGTAGTTCAGAATCCACTCACCTGAAGAGTGAAGGCTGCTTTTCTAAAAAAAAAAAAAAAATATGGGGAAGAAACATAAGTTACTTATTTTATTTGATATGAAGACATAAATATCAAGTACAAAATTCTTAACAGGACAAAGAGTACATTTCAGAAAATATTTTTCCTACATAAATGTCAAGGATCATTTTCCCCATTAGTATATTTTAAAAGATCTATATAACTGACAGTTGGTTTAGAACTCGTTACCCAATTTACAGTCATACGTGTAAGACAAAAATTTCTCAAGAAAGTTTAATTTCCTAAAAATTCTATTTACCGGGGTTATAGATGTGAGGAGTCTCTTCGGAGTAATAGCCTAGAAGAAAAAAATTAGTACATTTCCAATTAAAATACTGTAATTCACAGTTTAAAATTAACTCTTGAGAGAGTCCCACATGAAAAATAAATCTTAAATATGAATAGATCAGACCTGAATTCCTTCCTTTTTGGTTAAAGCTAAAGAAAAAAAATTTTTTTCATTTTCCTTTTTGTTCCAACAGAAATTAATCTGCAATAAAGACAAACTCTTTAATGATGACTCAGGAAAATAACAATGAGTAGAACAGTAAAAACCCAATTAGAGGTTCTACTGCTTCTTGTACACAAGCGACTGCATAGTTAAATGCTGCTCTAGAGGACCTAGGGAGACAAGAGGGCAGAGAACAGCGAGTTTTAAGCAGTTATAAAAGATGTCAAGTAAACATGGACAAAGCAAAACTTTCTATCTTGAGTATCAAAAGCTTATAGTTAGGATCACAATCACTCACTGTAAGTTCACCATAAGTATTCACTTCTATTTAATGCAAGTAGTAATACAATATAAGTAGAAATCTGGCACATAAAACTGATCTGAAGACTTTAGAATCATTAGAAGTTGCATAACGATTAAAACTAGCATGATATCTATTACTTTTTTGATTGTAATTTTTTACTAGATTTCTATAATTCTCACCTTGGACTTGGATGTTTTTTTCTTCTTATCAGGGCCTGAAGAATCTTTCTTTTGTACCTACACACAAACCCAAATTATAATCAGCCTAAAACCTGATATTATTAAAGAAAATACACTGCTGGCTACTTTAGGAAACTATAAATGCTTACCAAGCTGTAAACTTCAAGATTTATTTCAAAGTCATTAGACACATCTTGTCTGGGAAGAAAAAAAAAAGATATCAAATGAAATACTAAGAAAAATTTCAAGTTATGCCTTTAAAAGGCCACAAATACGGTTACAAGATTCTGAGAGTAAAGAAATACACTGTGTTTTTAACTAAAGACAAGAAGAACTGGTAAGAATAGTCTGTATTTTAAAAGTCAGAAATATTTTCTTTGGTCTTTTATAATTCAAGAGCTTTAAAAAGTAACAACTTTTTCAAACTGTTTTGTACTATGTAGTTCTAAAACATACCTGCATAACTAAACATAAGTATCTTTTATCAAGATGAAATATTAAGTATGTTATATGAGCTTTAAAGCATATATAAAAAAAATTAGGGGCAGGCTGAAGGTTTAGCTCAGTGGCACAGAGCCTGCCTGGCAAGCGCAAGGTCATGAGTTCAATCCCTGGGACCGGAAGAAAAAAAAATTATGGTTCACATTTTATATAATACTTCAAAGTATTAAACATGGATAGTCACATAGAAGAAATGTGCTACTCATTGGAAAACATCAAAAATATAAAAGCTAAATGCAAAAACTTAAAAACTGAGTTATTTACCCATTAAAAAAAAAAATTGAACACACAGCTCCCAGGAGACTGAAATAGGATGACTGCTGCAAGTTGAAGCCCAGCCGGGGCTACACAGTGAGTTCAAGGCAGCCTGGACCACGTAGCAAGACCTTGTCTCAAAAACTAAAACAAGGGCTGGGGAAACAGCTCAGCGGCACAACACCTGCCTGGTAAGCACAGAGTCCTGAGTTTGATTTCCGGTACCAAAAGAAGAACTAAAACAAATAAAGGGCTGAGTGGTAAAGCACATACTCAGCATGTACAAGGACTTGATCAGATTACGGATCTGACCCTCAGAAGCATGATCTACAGATAAATGTTGCCTGTATCCTTAGACTGTGTTGACCGTTTAAGAGAGAATATTGTCTGAACCACCAAACGCCTAATTACTCACAGAGTAAATGTAGTAGTGAATGTCAGAGCATCGCCATTAAGAGAGTTCGAAGTGCTTGCTAATGGTGTGGCTACCATATTTTCAGCTCCCGCTTTTAGCATAATTAAGTAATAGTAATTGGCGGCATCTGTAAGAAGTGATCAATTACATACTTAACACAAGCAAAATCACATTTAGCTGATCAGTGTTCTGAACCACCAAAGGAATAAAGTCACACTGCAATGTTTATACAAAATTTACATTTTATCAAAGAAAAATTTATATTTAAAATTACTAATATCAAGTTTCAGAAACAAGCTTAATTAAACATAATGTGACAGCTACAACCTTGAATAAACATCAACATCTCGCCTTAATTCCTCAATTTCTACTGACTTTGAATTTAACTTAACACACCTAAGACATACCTCCAAAGGGTAAATTGTGATTTATCTTTTCAAACATGAGATTAAAATACCATGAAAGTCATGCAGAGGTAAGTTCTAATAAAATCATGAACTATTTCTTCATTATTTGTCATTAAATAACTATGCACAACAAGGTAAATGTTTTCTGCTCACACTTCACTAAAATGAGGTAATAGCAATAAGTTAGCTCATTCCTACAATAACGTTCCGTTCTTTACTTTCCTGTACCTCAAAGTCACTCTCATCTACAGCTGACTTTCTCTTCCTGCACAGAGGAAGATCTACACAAATGAAAACCTAAAAGAACCTCAAAAAAAAAACCCTTACTAAAATTTAACCCAACTGTAATTTTCTTAAGCTTACTAAATTATTACCCTGCTGTGTTTTCAAATTTTGCTGTCAGGGTGCCATTTACCCACTGGTCTAGGTGAGATGTGGGGGGAGACTGGCAGGTGGGGAAAGGAAGCGGAAGTAAGAAGATCATTATGTGATTAAGTATAAGCACCAATTTGCCACGATGAAGGTATGTATCTACTGCAAACATATACTAATAAAAACTATAAAAATAGATATCATTTTTAGTAGACTGCATACTTCTAAAAAATGTGCTGAGATTATTCAAATCCAGTGAGGCAAAAAGAGTAAAATTTCAACAGAAATATCTTCACTGAGGTGCTCATCATCCATACAACCAGTGGTTCAGAGTTTGTAGAACAAATTTCTATACATGCTGAGGTACACTTTAAACAGAATAAATAAAGTGAGTTCTTTTAAATGCACCAGTTCATTTCTATAGTAAAATTAATTAGCTATATCAAATGGTCTATTCTATCAGGATAACTCATCTCAGAGATTTTATGTTCAAAATTATGTTTACCCTTACTGCTTTTTATCTTTATGTAAGCTCTTCTTGTAAATTTCTTGTACAAGTCTGATCTAGCTGAAGTTCGTAACTTAACATGGAATCTAAAAATAATGCAAATAAACACCACCGTACCAGATTTCTGAGCTGTACCACATACAAAATCTGCTTTCAGAGGCAAGCGGATTTCAGACAAAGTCACTGATCCTCTGGATGGGACAAATCCATTCTGGGCTGTGGGACCAGCCTTGTTCCTCCTCTGAGGCCCTTCAGTCTTCAGTTTATTCAGCTCATCAATCAAAAGTGCTCTCTTCTCAGCTATGTAAAAACATGAAAGTGAACATTCGAAATATCCAAATTACAGTGGTGGGCTGCAGATATACTTTAGTGGCTTGTCTAGAATGTTCGAGGTCCTGGGTTCCATCCCAAGCATCACAAAAATAAAACATCATTGTAACTCTTTCTGTTTTGCTTTGTTTTATTTTTTTGAGACAGGGTCTCGCCATGTAGTTCAGGCTAGCCTTAAACTCACTATGTGGTCCAGGCTGGTCTCAAACTCACAGCATTTTTCCTGCCTCAGCCTCCCAAATGCTGGGATTACTGATGTGCACCACCATGCCTGGAAAGTCTTTCTGAATGAAAGCCAGTTAAAGAAAGTACACTGATAGTGCCACTGTATAACAAAACCAAGGACAAAAGTCACTTTTTATGCATCATGTGGGAGGTACTGGGTAAAACCTGGACTGTGTGTATTGACCAAGCCCTTATAACTTAATACAGCTTTCAACTACCTTTCTGGGCAGCATTATCTTCCTACCAAGCGCGTCTGTCTGTCTCTCCCCACAAAATACACATCAGTTGTTTTAGCTATATGTAAGTTGGTAGGGAGAGAAAGAGAGATAGAGGACAGGTTGTGTGTGTGTGTGTATGTGTGTGTGTGTGAGAGAGAGAAAGAGAGATAGAGGACAGGTGTGTGAGTGAGAGACAGAGAGATAGAGGATGGGTGTGTATATGTGTGTGTGACAGAGAAAGAGAGAGGATGGGTGTGTGTGTGTGAGAGAGAGAGAAAGAGAAAGGACAGGTGTGTGTGTGTGAGAAAGAGAGAAAGATAGAGGACGGGTGTGTGTGTGTGTGTGTGTGTGTGTGTGTGTGTGTGTGTGTGTGTGTGTGTGTGTGTTTCATTTAGCATGCATCTTCAGATGCATTCTAGTTGCCTTCACCTTTGATGCAAACCACATTTTACACCCTATTTTTCACAAACCTCCTAAGTACAAGAAATAGAAACTGAGGTCAAATAAAGCACATGATTGGAGAAAATCTTTTCTCTCAAATTAGAGATTTCTGAACATACCACAGGAAATTAGTTTTCCCTAGCTGGGAATTTGCTGGAAAGGTGTCAGGTGCAATTATCCTCACGTACTTGCAATTAGAAGCAGTCTCTCCGCTTCAGCTTCTTCCAGGGAGCCTTTGCCATGCTCTTCATCGACACAGCAGTTAAGAGCCTGGCTAGCTTGATATATCACTGTCTGCTGCAAATTTATTTCATTATTGAGGTCCTAATGAAACCAATGAGAGGAAGGAAGTTGGCATTTTTAAATCAGCATTTTCACTTCACTTAAACTTCAATTTTAAGTCATCTGATTGGATAATTTCAAATTTTCCCAGAGAGTAAGTCAAAATATTAATTCCAACTGGGCATGTGGTGCACACCTGTAATCCCAGCACTCTAGAAGGCTGAGGCAGGAGGATCACAATTTGGGCTCAGCCTGGGCAACTTAGCAACTTAGCAAGACCTTGTCTCAAAATGTAATTCAGTGTGAAGGCCCTGGGATTCAATCTCCAGTACTGAAAAATAAATTAATTTCAATGTTCAAGTTTCTAGATTACACACCAAAATACTGAATATACTATAATGATTAAACTATAAACTTTCCCTATAAAATGATTTCCGATTCATATTTATTAAAAATTATAACTGTGGCTACATCTAACAAGGTAAAAATTTAGAAAGTATCTGATTCAGCTTATTTAAATTATAACTATGTTGTTTTGGCGGTACAGCACAGGTCTAGCACACCAAAGGCCCTGGGCTCAATCCCCAGTATCCCATCCCCTTGAAAAAATGTTCACCAATGTGAAATAAGCGTCTAAGTTTCCTCTGCAATTAAGCTGAATTTAAGAGTGACTTAGTGAGCTCCACGGGTCAGTCTGCTATGGTCACTCAGTGCAGAGATGAACCAGGCTGGGTCCTCGTCCTCAGAGTTCCCAATCTAGTGCAAGAAACACACCAAGTCTCCTCTCTACAGAAGTCATACCTGCATTTTCTGTTTGATGTTAACCTGACCAGACAAGGCATTCTTCTCATCCAATTTGGAAGTAACATCTTCCCTCCGAACAATCACTTGCTTTACTGAAGGACGCTCTGTTTCTTTGATTCTCTGAGATCTATACGCATCAATGCTTCAGGAAAAAATTACACTTCAGAGATCCAGCAATGCACTGGGCACTGTTCTTTATGACACATATCAGCAGAATTTGACGCTAATACCAAAATTTCACCAGAATGGAAGGGCCACTTGGTGAAAGAGGCTGCCAAAAGTTGTAACTACAAACTGTAATGCCACTTACGGCAATCCAAGCCATGACCCCAATCTAGCCATCCCAAATGCCCTTACCTATAAAGAAGATCTCGATCTTCAGAACCAATGCTATCCCCAGACTCTGCTCGAGGAACACGGGTTCTCTGGAATTTTCCTGGCTTGGGACTTTCATCACTTACACTAGTGTCCTTCAATTCCAATTTAGGCGAGGAAATGAAATTCTGCAGGAAAGCACCTCAGATATTAGTACATTGTATGGGTAATTAACAGTGACTTGAAATGCTAATTCATTTCATTCTGAGAAAATAAATGAATTCTTCCCCTTTATTGGAAAATAAATATCCAGTAGGTTAACTGATTCATCGTAGAAACAAAGCAAACAAAAACAAATTCCTTTATAAAGATGAATAAGGCCAGACATGGTGACACAAGCCTGCAATCCCAGCACTCTGGAGGCTGAGGCAGGAGGACAGCCATGAGTTCAAGGCTAGTCTGGATTACATAGTAAGTTCAAGCCCAACCTGAATTATACAGCAAGACCCTGTCTCAAAAAAATTAAAATTTAAAAAAGTAAAAACATGAGTAAAAGCATGAAGTCAGCTGAAACTTATATAGGTAACTCTGTAAGTGAACCAGTCTCCACAGCGGCAGATGCTCCGTTCATGGTGACACGACTGCCAGCACTCAGCTTTCTCTGCATGTTGGCTGCGCAGCTGGTGCTGAACACCAGCGCACTAACGGGGCTCAGTGCTCACATGAACCCTGCAATGTGGGTACCACTGTCAACCTCAGTGAACAGACAAGGTAACCATTCCAAGAGACGATCAACATCAAAGCCAGGATTTGATCTCGAACAGCTGCCCTTTAAAGCCATGCCACAGACTGGACTTTGTTTAAGGTCCACAGGAAACCCTGAAGGGTTGCAAGTTCTATCTTAAGAGAATTTTCATGAGGTTTCCAAAATCACTCTAGCTACAAAATGCCAAGCACTCAGCTACCAACAAAAGAAGGGGGACCGCATTACTGCTCAGTTGATGTTGTCACCGGCCTGTCTACACTTCCTTACCTCTGGACTCACTACCCCGACTGTCTGTGCCAAGGGCATAAGTAAAGACATGGAAGAGATGTTCAGTGCATCCTCCTGCTCCTCACTGCTCTCTGTTATCACCTGATCCATCTCCTCCTGGTTCTGCTCCACATCCAGGTCACCTCCTTGGAGGACATCACTGAAGAGGTCATTAATCACTTTTGAACTGTTGATATCCTCGGCGTCATCACCATCCACACTCACCTCAATTTCACGTACCACTTCTGAAAAATAGTTCAGTGTGTGGACACTGATTAAGGTCTTTAAGAATTCAAGGGAGAGCAGACAAGGCTTCACATTCACACGCTCACTAAAGCAAAGAAAAAGCATTTCCTAAACTAAACTACCACTAATATATGAAACTGAGATACTTTTCAAAGTTCCAAACACATTTTCTTAGAAATAAAGGCTGTCTCCACCAAAAGCTGATTGAATGATTTGGATTTAACAAATAGTACTAAATAAGAACTCAAACTGCAGCTTAATAGGGAAAACATTCTGACTTTCAAAAGATGTTCTTTCAAATGATTCTTCTTCCATTGTCAGGTTTCACAAAGAAGCCACAGGGCCGCCAGCCCCTCCCCATCGGCAGATGTAGCATGTGTTCTCTCGCCATGAGAGTGAGTGACAACCCCAGCTGCATGCCACAGGGTCTGTGACCCGGCCATAACTGTGCGCAGTACCGTATATCCAGGCAGAGTATTTCCTAGTTACGGGCTGGGACAGCCCTTGTCTAGCAACTATAACGCCCTGGTTTCCATCTCAGCACTACCAAAAAGGGGGTTTACTAAATATAAAACCATAAGACACTTTTGTGTGTGTGTATGTGGGTGTTGCTATTAAGGGTCTAACTTAAGAGTGTCCATTAATAAGACAAAGCAAATAAAAACCAACCAGTCTGCTGTTCGACTTTTGGGTCTGATGTCACTTTCAGGGACTTTTCCTCTTCTAAAAACAACGTTATTTTCAAAGGGCTAGACTTTGTCATGTTGCATTCAGTGAAACCTAAAAAAAAATTGAAGAAATATATATATATATATATATATAGCAACCAAGATTTTAAAAATTAGGCATTACATATTTTTATTATAAAATAATGCAATTGTTTAAAAAATTCAAACCTAGAAATATATAGAAAACCATCTGTGTCCGCTCTCTTTCCTTTTCTCTCTAAATGTGGGGTCTCACTATGTTCCCCAGGCTGGCCTCAAACTCCTGGACTCAAGCGTTCCTTTACCTCAGCCTCCCAAGCAACTAGGACTACAGGCACACGTCACACCAGCTGTCCTCTCTTAAGTTTCTATCTTCTTTCCTACTGAAAGAGAAGGGAGGTAATAATATTATCGAATCACTGTTTGTTTTTCCATTTGTTATGGTTTGTGTCTGGATGGCCCCCAAACCCTCATGCAGTCATGGGGCGGGCTTCTAGAGTTTATGACTGATCCATGGTCCAATGCTGGGATTATGCGTGTGAGTGCTACACCCACCCTGGGGCAGGCAGCCTGCATACAATGTAAGGGAGGGAAAGAGGCTTCCTCTTTCCGATGCCACTCCTCCCATTTTGCTCTTGTTGCTTTCGCTGTTTCTGCTGCCATGAACTGTTGCCCTCTGCCATGTGCCACTCTGCCTAGGAGACAGCCTAGTATGGACTGAAACCTCCACAAACTGTAAGCAAAATAAACCTTTCCCTCTTTAATTTGCATGTTGCGTATTTTGTCTCAGCAACAAGAAAAAAGTAACCAAGACACCATTTTTTCCCTAGATATATATGTATTTTATTTTATCATAGAGTGATCACTTTATATTATATTATACTCTGCAATTAGTTTTCTACTTTTAAAGAAGTGTCAGTAAAATTGCTTAAAAAGTAGGACCAGAAAGAGACAATCCAAATACAATAAAGACCTCACATGAAAAACCCTCAGCTAACATTATTCCATGGTGAAGGACTAAAAGCTTTTCCTCTAAGATCAAGAACAAAGCATGGGGGCTGGGGATTTAGCTCAGCGGCAAAAGCGCCTGCCTGGCAAGGGCAAGGTCGTGAGTTCGGTTCCCAGTACCGGAGAAAAACAAAAAAAAAAAAAAAAAAAAAAAAAAAAAAAGAACAAAGCAAAGATTACTGCTCCCCCTATTTCCACTCAACATATCACTGAAAGTCCTAGCCAGAGCAATTAGTCAAGAAAAATAAAAAAGGGTATCCATATTGGAAACAGAGAATTAATATTTATCTTTGTTTACAGATTATATGACCTAACATGTTGCAAATCCTAAGGATTCTACCAAACAAAAACCTGTTAAAACTAATAAATTCAGTTGTTATAAAATATAAAATCACTACTTAAACATCAGTTGAGCTAAATTCAGTGGTGCATGCCTATAATCTTAGCTCCTCAGGAAGCTGAGGCAGAATGTTTGCAAGTTTAAGACCAGCCTGGGCAACTTAGTGAGACCCTATCTCAAAATAAAATTTTTTTTTTTTTTGGTTTTTCTCTGGTACCGGGAACCAAACTCACGACCTTGCGCTTGCCAGGCAGGCGCTTTGCCGCTGAGCTAAATCCCCAGCCCTCAAAATAAAATTTTAAAAGTGGGCCAAAAATGGTAGTACACACCTGTAATTCCAGCACTAGGGAGGCTGAGGCAAGAGGATCACCACAAGTTTGAGGCCAGCCTGGGCTACATAGGGAGTTCAAGGCCTAAACTACACAGTGAGACCCTGTCTCAAAAAAAAGGAAAGAAAGAAAAGAAACTTTTAAAAAGAGCCAGGTGGGCAGGGCATGTTGGTGCATACCTATAGTCCCAGCACTTGGGAAGCCAAGGCAGGAGGATCACTGTGCGTTTGAGGCCAGCCTGAGCTATGTAAGGGCCACTGAGGGAAAAAAAATCATTCGTAGCTGGGCATGGTGGCTCACACCTATAATCGCAGCACTTGGGAGGCTGAGGCAGGAGAATCACTTTGAGTTCAAAGCCAGCCTGGGCTACAAAGTGAGTTCAAGAAAAGCCTGAACTGTATAGTGAAACCCCGTTTCAAAAAGCAAAAAAAAAAAAGACAAACAGATCAATAAACCATCACATCTATGGTCAAATCATCTTCAACAAGGACACGAGGCTGATTCAATGGGAAAAAAAAATCTCTTCAACAGATAGTGCTGGGAAAACTATATATCCTCATGCAAAACAATGAAGCTGGACTCTTGTTTCTTACATACATAAAAACTAAGCCAAATTTAAAAATGACCTAAATGCAAAATCCAAAACTATAAAAACTCCAAAGAAAATATAAAGGGAAAACGTCATGACATGGAATTTTATGATAATCATTTGGATATAAAACCACAAGCAAAATCGACAAAAGAAAAACTACACAAATGAGACTACATCAAACTTTTAAAAATTGGAGAATATCAAAAGACACAATCAACACAGTGAAAAATCATATAGAACAGGAAAAATGTTTATAAATCAGATCTCTCTAAAGAAGTTAATATCTAGAATCTACAGCACTCCTACAACTCAACAATAAAATCCAGTGACTAAAAGATAGGCAAAGAATTTAAACAGACACTTCCCCCAAAAAAGTAATAGCCAAAACACATATGACAAGATGTTCAATATCTATATTAAAGAAATATAAATAATAACCACTGAGATAGATGGCTACAATCTAAAACAGAAGAAAATGAGCAGCAGAAGCATTTGAGCGCTTGTGCACTGTTGGTAAGAGGGTAAAATGGGGTGAACCACTACAGAAAGCACAGTGAAGCCAGGAACAATGGCCTACACCTGTAATCCCAGCACCCTGGGAGCCTGAGGCAGGAGAATCATAAGTTCAAGTCCCACACAGGTAACGTAATGAGACCCTGTCTCAAAACAATCAGAAAGGGCTGGTGATGTAGCTCAGCGTAGAAGTGCTGAGTTCAACTTGCAATATAAAAAAAAAAAAAGGTCCTCAAAACATTAAAAATGGAACTACCATGTGATCTACCAATCTCATTTCTAGGTTTTTATCCAAAATATTTGAAATAATAAAGAGATATTTGTGCACACATGCTCACAACAGCGCTGTCTACAATAGGTAAATGTACAAGAAACAAGCAAAATGTGATACACACACACACTCTCTCTCACACACTGGAATGTTATTCAGCTTTGAAAGGCGGTCTCATCACATGCTACACAATGGTGAACCTTAAGGAGATTATGTAAAAGATAAAAACTACAGCAGTCTCCCTGTGTTTGCTACCCGTTTCAGTTACTTACAGACAACTGCAGCCCAAAAGCATTGAACAGAAAAATCTCAGAAATAAACAATAAGTTATAAAGTGTATGCTAAGTAGCATGGTAAAGTTGGCCAGGCGTGGTGGCGCACACCTGTAACCCCAGCACTTAGGAAGCTGAGGCAGGAGGATCATTGTGAGCTCAAGACCAGCCTGGGCTACAAAGTGAGTTCAAGGCCAGCCTCAACTGCAGAGCGAGACCCTGTCTCAAAAAGACATACATAAATAAATAAATAGTTGCAGGCCTTCTCACTACATCTAGCTCCAGGCCAGAGATGTGAATCACCCCTTTGTCTAGGGCATCACACTGTAAACTACCAGAGCTTTAGTCAAGTGAGTGCAGGCAATCCTTACTCTACTGAATAACGGTCCCAAAGGCAAGACAGTGATGTAAAGATGGCACCAGGACAGAGAACATGTAAGGACACATGAACTCTGGCACCATCTGGCAATGCAGCTGGGCTTATAAGAAAAAAAGTCTGTATGAAGTGTCCTTTATAATATATGGATAGTACTGCATGATTTCAGGCACCTGCTGGAGGTCTTGGAACACGTACCTACGAATAAGTGTGTGTGGGGCCAGGGATATAATTCAGTGGCCGAGCGCCTGCTTGGCAAGTACAAGGTCCTGAGTTCGATTCCCAGTACCAAAAAAAAAGTGGGGGAGGCCTACTGTGTGTGAGTTCACTTAAACGAGGTATCTAATGTGGTCAAATTCATAGAACAGGAAGTAGGATGGTGGTCACTAGGGGCTGGAGGAGGTAGAAGAAGAAATGCAGAATTGTTTAATGGACATAGTTTTAGTTTTGCAAGATGAAAAAGTTCCAAAGATCTATTTCACGATAATATGAATATACTTAAAGTACTGAAATAGGCACTTTAAAATAGTTATATTGGTAAATCTGATGTAATGTTTTCACCTCAAACTTTAAAAATAAAATGAAAATGTTAAAAGTGTCTATTGTCACTTAAGCATCATCACAAAGCTACCTTCTTCTAGGCAGCTACATGTTATTTAATTACGTGGATGCAGCATGTTTTATTTCAACAGGCTTCTGATGGGCACCATCATCACCATTCACAGCAGTGCACAACGGGTCTCTTTGTACACACATCTCTGCAAAGTAGTTCAGGAATTCATCGCAGAGCAACACTTGCAGAAAAGCTGAATTAAGGGAGCAACTCAACAGCTACTATTGAATGTTTCTCCAAAAAGAGTTGTCACTACCTTCATCCAAAGCACATACCTTCTCACTCTGGAATGAGAATGACAGAAGAGCCACACTGCAGCATCAGAAATGAGAAACAACGTAATAGACCTGTCCTTTGGACTGGAAGCAGCGTTTCTGCTCTCCGATCCAATTTCCAAAATCTATGGCAGACTGGCAACTACACTTTAAGTGAAGCAACACTGAAACACTGACCTGCAGGTTCCGTACTAGAAATCTTTGCCGGTATCTGGTTTTCTGTCACCGTGTCTACTACTGGGAGGGATTGGGCTTTGGAGACAACTTGATGTTTCTTGAGGGGAGTGTCCTGACTGTGAACTTCCTGGAAAACCAAATGAAGAGGTAAACTTTACTTCTCAAAACCATAGCTTTTATCTATAGAAGATACTGAATAGTAGAGTTCACATTCCTGGTAATTCTCAGTATATAAAATGTTTTTAGAGACAGGAAAGCAAGGGAAAAGTCACGTCAAAGCTCAGTTTTATATAAAGCAACGAGAAAGCCACATACAGGGGAAAAGCAATACCCCACGTCATTTACCTCAACCCATACTTACACAATCTGGTGACAGCTCCTACATCAGGGTTCCATTTAATGATCAGTTACTCAGGATATAAAATTTAAAGAAAACAAAGAAAGGATGAGAAGAGATCGGAAGGTAAGGAAAAGAAAAAGAAAAGAAAAACAGTCCCTTGTGTGAGTCTTTTTATTCATTAGCAAAGCTATGGAAGATGTTATGATTGATACATTGTGTCAGCCTGAGTTTAGAAGTTTAACTAAGCCACTCAGCAGGGAGCCAGGGTCCTCACTTTGTAAACATCCTCATCCTGTGCAGGAGGAAGGCACTGGAGATGGCGAGTGCTACACCTGCTCTGGGAGGGCAGGTGGCCTGCTTGCAGTATAAGGGAGGAAAAGAGGCTTGCTTCTCCTGCCTTTTGCTCTTGTTGCTTTGCTGTCTCCTGCTGCCTTGATCTGTTGCCCCTGTGCCATGCCACCCTGCCTTGGAGCCAGCTGATTATGGACTGAAACCTTCACAAACTGTGAGCTAAATAAACCTTAATTTTTCCTTAATTTGGGGTGTTGGGTATTTTGTCTCAGCAACAAGAGAAAAGCAACCAAAACAGAAGAGAAATATTCATTGATTTATGTGTTTAAAAGACTTTATGGTAAACTGGGTATGGTGGTGCATGCCTGTAATCCCAGCACTCAGCAGAGGCTGAGGCAGGGCATTGCCATGAGTTCGAGGACAGCCTGGGCTACAAAGTGAGTTCAAAGCCAGCCTGCACTACACAGGGAAACCCTGTCTCAAAAACAAAACAAAGTGGAAAAAAAAAAAAAAAAGATTTTATGGTTAAAGCAGTACCAGAAATAATCAAGTATGGGTAAAAACAGCAGTAGCTAAAAGCTAGAGTTTAAAATGTGCCAGTCCCCCTTCTATGCAGGTCATGCCTACATCGCCTCCTCTGATCCACTCAGACCTGGAGTAACACCACTGTGGTGTCTGGTTCCACTATCAATGCACAGCCTCGTATCCCGTCTGAGTCTCAACACTACCCTTCTTCCCTCTCATTCTAAGCCCGCCCTTCCCTCCACCCTCCACAAAGCATTTCGCCTCACGTGTTCCCTTTCCTAATGAGCAGAGCTGGTGCGGTCTGTCAGACACAAAGTCCACCGTCTTCACCCTCACAGCCCTAAGAGTTCGCCTCCTTCCTCTCCATCACACCAGACTGCCTGATTGCATCTGCCTTGGCTCTGTGCTCTGAGTTCATGCCTTCCCATGCATCTCATCAAATCACCAATCGCTCTATCTTCTTAGCTTCTCTAATTTCTTACTACTAGCTCCCTGCCACTTGACACCAAAACGGACTTTAGTCTCAGAAAGAACAAAACCAACACACAACAAACTTTCCTTCTATGGGGACAAAGGAACCCTTTTCCACTGATGGTGGGAGTGTATACTGGTGCAACCAATGTGGAGGTCATTGTGCAGACTGCTCAAAAAACCAGGACTAGAGATTCCACTCGACCCAGCTATTCCCCTTCTTGGTATCTTCTTGAAAGAATTAAAAGCATCGTACCACAGCGATATACGCACATCCCTGTTTATAGCAGCACAGTTTGTAATAGTTAAATCTTGGAAACAGCCCAAATACCCATCAAGTGATAAACGCATAAAAACAATGTGGTTTTTTTATACCATGGAGCACTATTCTGCCATAAAGAAGGATAATCTTGAGACATTTCCAGCTAAATGGATGCACCTTGAGACCATAGTCTTAAGTGAAATAAATTAGACACACATGTTCAACTATCAACTATCAACATGGTTTCTCTGGTGTGAGAAACCAAAAGTGTAAATGAGGACCAAAAGGTATAACTGATATTGGGAAATGGGAAGAAAATTTCCAAATGGGAGGGGGACAAGAGAGGGGAGGGGGGAAAGAAAGGAAGGGACAAGAAAAAAATAGAAGGAAAAATGGAAACAAAACTTTTGTAAATAAAGAGGGGAAGGGGGGTTGAAGGGAGGGGAGGGGAGTGGGAAAAAAAGGAGAAGCAAGATATATCATGTACAGGTACAAACTCCCTATGATGAATGTGATCATTATGTATAGCTAAAATGTACCAATAAAAAAAAGTTATCCACAAAAAAAAAAAAGATGACAGCTAACGCCAAGCATCAGCCCCGTCCTTCCTTCAAATACAAGTGCCCTGAGCACCTCCTCTCAGTCTCCCCCTGCTCAGGCAGAAGAACAGCAAGGCAGAGAGGCAGCAACCCTGCACAGGCCTGCAGGCTCGGCAGACACAGCCACGCCCGGGAGGCGCAGAGGGAGGCTGGGATAGGACACTGTGCAACAAGCCAAGCAGTTTGCTCCTTGTTATGATGAGGACTTAGTGGAGCTCCCCAAGATTTTAACCAAGTGGATACACTAATATTTGCTTTTAAAAAGTATTTCTCTGGGGCTGGGAGTTTAAGTCAGTGGGATAGTGCTTGAGGTCCTAGAAGAAATTTCTCTGGCAGCCCTGAGTAAGAGGGATTGGAGAGTAGCTGGAAAAAAAGCAGCGTCCAACACATAGTTCTGACACTGACTATGGCAACTACAGAGGAAAATATGGAAGGCAGGAAGCCTGGTGAGAGACCTAGAAAACTTCTCATTGGAGGCTTGGGTTTATGTGTGGGCACCAAGGGCAATCAGAGGGGAAGACACAGTACATAAGAAGGAGCCAAAGAACCACCAGAGTACTTTAGATGACAAAGTACAGACCAAGGCAACAAGGCAAACAGAAACTGTGAGGGGAGATAATGCAGTGGGTTTTGCCAGCCAATCAGGCCTTGAGCTCAGCTCAGCAGAGCCAAGAGCCATCACTACCTCCACACTTGGCTGATCCCAGACCTCAGAATAGGACAACCCAGGGAAGGGAGAAGTAATGGCTACAGTCAGAATCTGGGAAATGGACTTATTAAGCTAGAGAACTGGCAAAAAACAGAATCAGGTAGATCTTTCTCAAAGAATTCTGATCAATTTTCTCTTCTTTCTCTTGGTCACCTCTGTAAACATAAGTCTACTAGTTCAAAAATGTATCCTAATATAGTATAGTTAGGTAAATAAAGTAGAACATAGTTTACATTTTAGGTGGGGAATTTTGGAAGGCTGATTAATGAAATTTGACAAGAGACAGAAATTTGGGAGGCAGATGGGAACTGAGAGGACTGCAAATAGGTTAAAACTAGGGTATTTCAGGAGAAGCAAACAGTCATGTCAATGAGAAAAGTACACATTCCAGAACCAGGATCTAAGCAGAATATTAAGAATCTGACATGGAATGATGAAAATTTATTTTATTTTATTTTAAAGTCATCAGTGAATATGGTGAAGAGTTCCACTGAAATGGGAAAATATGAGAAAAGTAGAGGTGTTTGTACATTTAAGGAGTTTATGAATGCAAAGTGTCAGACTTAATTGGAAAACACAAGTACCTAAAAACTTGTTTTACAATACAAACTACCAATTAAATCCCAACACTACTTCGGTACCACGTAGGCATTCATATTGCCCGCTCGCGTTACCTGTTTGGTTTCTGTCTGCTTGCTTGCTGAGTCCCCGCCTTTTCCTGTGCTCCATAAATGGCCCTTGTCAACTCGGCCTCGGAGACAAGCTAGTTCTCTCTGGCGTTCCTAAATCCAACGAAAGATGCGCTTTACACAGAGGCTGGAAGCAGGTGGAAGGACAATACCCAACTAGGGCTTTCCTTGTCTTCAGCTTTAAAATCAAGAGTTTGCAATTCATATGGAATAGAGGATAACAGTTCCATTTTGCAGTGACAGACACCTAAGATACTGTTTATCTCAGCCAAAGAGACAAGCATCAGAAATCACAGTTTAATTTCTAGGTTCTATGCTGAGACCATGCATTAATTAAAATGTCATGCGGTAAGTCATACCTGCTTGAGCTGTTGTGCTGCATGGGTAGTAGATGAACCTGCATTTTGTTTGAACAATCTTTCTTGGATGGCTTTTGTGTTTGGGGTTATAACAGGGGTCTTATGGGGTGTGCTACGAGCTGGGCTTTCTTTGCTGCGTTCCTGACAGCGCTCTCCAAAGCGTTCCAGGAAAGGCTTAATTCCTCTTCCTCCTGTAGAAAAAAAACGTATTTTTGGAGGCTATTCAAAATGAGCAGTTTTCTATAGAAAAAGTCTAAAATCTATTAGTCACAAAATGCTTATATGGCTGGGGATTTAGCTCAGCGGCAAAAAGCGCCTGCCTGGCAAGCGCAAGGTCGTGAGTTCGGTTCCCGGTACCGGAGAAAAACCAAAAAAAAAAAAATGCTTATATGACTACGATCCCAGCACCTGAAAAGCTGAGGCAGGAGGACTACAGCAAGTTTGAAGCCAGCCTGGGCTACGTAGTGAGTTCAAGGCCAGCCTGAACCACACAGTGAGACCTAAAAAAATTAAACAAAAACACCTTTGCTTCTCCTGGAAATACACAATGACAAAGTAAGTAGTATGAAAATAGTCCAAAAAATAGCATATGGTTCAATTTAATTACATGTTCTAAAATGTTACTTTTTAAAAAAAAATGTATGGGGATGTAGCTTATGGTAGAACACTTAATGTAGCATGCACAGACCTTGGGTTCAATGCTCAGGGTCAAAAGAAAAACAAGAAATGTGAAAAACAGAGTGAGAGGGCAGAAAACTTTCTTTTTTGAGACAGGGTCTCGCTATGCAGTTCAGGCAGCCCAGGCTGGCCTCGAACTCACAACGATCCTCTTGCCTCAGCCTCCTGAGTGCTGCTGGGATTACAGGCGTGTGCCACCACACCTGCCTGAGGACAGAAAACTCTCAAACTGAACAATCAAAATTTAAGTGATCAGAAATGGATTACAGGTGTACAAATAAACCTACTAAGTGTCCTTGCCATGATAACTTCCAACTATTTACATTTCTACAGTTCAATTTATTTTACCTTGCTTTTGTGAAGTCTAACATGTAAGTATCTGGGGTACTTCCCCTTCCTCCCTCAAAAGAAAGTGATTATCCATGTCAACAAAAGTATGTCTTCATTTTACAAGGTTTTACTTGAAATGATGTAAAATATATGTCCAGTAGGGCAAAAGGGGCATATATTACCTCCTCCATCAAGAGAGTTCTAGGGCTGTATTATATAAAAATAGACCTATCTGTATAAGACATGTGCAAATATTTTCCTGTAAAGGGCCAAATAGTAAATATTTTGGCCTTTCTAGGCCATATGGTCTCTGTTGCAGCTACTTACCTCTGCATTACAGCATGAAAGCAACCACAGAAGAATACGTCAATAAATGGATATGGCTATGTTCCAATAAATCTTTATTTACAAAGAAAAAAGCAAAGGGCAGAATTGATCTGTGCCCATAGTATGAAGACTCCACCTATCACTTATTCCACGTGCCATATCTCAAATGAGAGTCCATTCAGGAGACAAAGACACAACTAAAGGAAGTATTTTTGAGGCCCTAGTAATATAAAGTATTCTTGGTTCCAAAAATGTTTCTCCATCAAACTCCTAAAATGTGACTTCCAGTTGCATACTCCCTTCCTACATCAAAAAATATAGAAAAAAGTCTCCAGAATGACCATCCTGGGAATAAACACGCTTAAACTGCTATAATGTACATGTTGAATACCTGACTAGTTAATGAGCTCCCCTCATGAGTACTCATCTAATTAAAGCTGAATAGGAAGTCTCATTCGGAACATTCAGGCACTGATCCCGGCAAACCAACGCTACCAGTCTCAGCCGGATATTTAAACTACTACGAGCAGAACTTTGAATAGAGAGAGCAGCAGCTTTAGGTTTTTTACAAATATAACCTGGAGTAGTAGATTTGTCTTTAGACTGAGACTGCAGACAAATTTCTCTGTTTCCTTCTTCTTTGGCCCCAGCTCCCTGGGATAAAGCGGACTTCCCAGCAGGTTCCGACACCTCTGTTTTCAGAGGACTAGCGGTGTTTTGCAGTACCTCAGGATTTTGTACCTCACAGTTTTTAGTGCTGGTGGTGGATGCAGACAACTTTACAGGGGAAGCAGCAGCTTTCTGAAACATGATAAAAATTAGGGTAAGCAACCTTTATAATATCTCAGGGAGCCCTACAAGAAAAATAATTCAAATTCTATTTACTTGGTAGCCTTTATGAAAAGCTTTTGGAAAAACATTCTTATTCTCTAATAGATCAAACTAACTCACGGTTAGAATGCTATTAAATTACAATATGTAGTTTATATATTAAAGGGTAATTAAGTATTAGGAGTAAGGTAACTCCTTATTTTATAAATTTTTTTCATATTATCACACTAGTACCTCTATTAAATTTTAACTGTATTTGATCAAATTACATTGTTATTTGTATGTTAGTCAACATTAATTCACAAGACACAGGTTGAGCATCTCTTGTCCAAAATGCTTGGGACCAAAAGCGTTTCAGATTTCAAATTCTTTAGGAGTTGGAATATTTGTAGTCAGATATCTTGGCAATGGGACCCAAGTCTACATACAAAATGCACTGATGTCACATATACAGCTCAGACTCATGGTCTGATGACCATTTTATACAACATCTTTAGTAAGTTCAAGAGGGAAGGTTGGTTGGTGTGGAATTTTCCACTTGCAGCATCATTTCAATGCTCAGAAAGTCACAGATTTTGAGGCATCTCAATTTCAGATTTTCAGATCCAAGATCCTCAATCTGCAGTATCAGGTACTTGATGGCTAATTCTATGAAATTCTTAAGTACTTAGGATACTGCCAGGAATTATAGTAAGTGCTTTATGCATACTACCTTATTCACCCTTCCTAACAACCCTATCTTACCTCATTTTACATACAGAAAAATATGGCTTTGCGAGATTAAGTAACTTATTTATACAAAGTTAATCTGTCACACTTCTAATTATGTGGCAGAACCAGGACTAAACATAGGTCTAAGTCCAAGGCCTCTTTCCACACTAAAAGACAATCATCAGGAACACAGCACTCCTTTTCCTTTTTTTTTTTTTAGACTGCTTACTAACTGCTGAGATGATGCGTGCATGAAGTAAAAGTTTCAAGGACTTCAAGAGGACGAATAGTAGGAGTGTCACCCCTTACATGTCTACTTGGCAATTTGCCTTCCTGGACACAACTACAGCCACTGATTTATGTCTTTTGAGAAACAGACATAGTATCTTACACACATCCATAAAGCACTCTAATGGAGAAATTCATTTCCAGGGGTCCCTTTGACTAAGAGGCTCATTCACTCCATTATTATATACTTTGGATTTGCATTTAATTAGTACAACGTCAGTTTCACAATGTCCATTTATCTAGAGACATGTTACCAAATTTATAATTTTCACTTTCTATGAAACTAATATCCTAAAAATCCATTTAAACACATACACGAATGCATATAAACACACTATACATATACTATAAAACACATACCTACATACAGATGTATCATTACCTCTCACAAGAAAAAAAAAATAGAAAGAAGGAAATGGTTCCCAAGACCAAAATGGTATTAACTCACCACAGAGCTGGAAACTGAGGCATGAAGCACAGAGGCAGTGGCAGCACTGCAGGACGAGGCTTTGTTCAAAGCTGCTTCGCCATCCCTTTGGGAACAGCATGTAGCTTCCTGCTTAACACTGCTGCTATTGATCCTAGCAGATGCTCCACTTGCAGAGGAAAATTTGGATAAACAAGTGGTACCAGGCTGTTCTTGTCCACTGTTTTGCTTTGCAGATGAGTAACTTACATCATCTTCCCAGGAGGAAATGGTGGCAGCAAGGTTGGCCAGGCGGCCCCTTCTCCCAATCGGGGCTGCTGAAGCCCCAGAAATGGAGGGTTTGGGAGGGGAGGAAGCCTTTTCCTCGGATGGTACTGGAGAGATGAGGGAGCTTGGGGGTACATCATCTGAAAATGTTTCTAGAAAAATGGTGAAGAGTTATTCTTACAGTGCATAATAACAAGAACACTCCATAGAGAATTTTAAAATTAGATTAATGAATTTAAGAACCATTTAAAAACTCTTGCATGCATGAAATACCACACTATTTAAATTTGATAATACCCTTTCAAATCAAATGAGGCTTACCTAAATTTTAAAAGAAAACACTGTTAACATCTACTTTTTTGAATTTCTGATAGATCAGGAATGCTATTATATAGCAAATGTTTAGGTTATATTATTAGAAGTAATTCACGGTGCTATGATACTGCATAATTTAAGACTGTGTACCCTACCTACAAGAACTTCTGCTTTAAACATGAACTAGACCAATGCTGTGGAATGGAACTCCCTAAGATGATGGAGATGTCCTATACCTATGCTGCTCAGTACAGTAACCACAAGCCACATGTGGCTAGAGAGCAACTGAAATGTGGCAGGATAACTTTTACTTAATTTTAAACACAGTTACATGGGGCTAATAGCAGCTATTCAAACAGTACAGTTAGGCCAAGTCAGTTTTTCTGCACAGTTACTTCATTTGGAGGAAAATCCAAACAGTAACACTCAGCTGAAGAAAGCTCTAGGCCTGTGTGCATACAGACACAGAGGGAAGCTGAGGTTCATGCACTTCCTGTTCCACAGATTCAGTCAAAAGAAGAAATATCAGCAGGGCCTAGTGGCGCATGCCTGTAATCCCAGCACTCAGGAGGCTGAGGCAGCAGGATCGTTGAGAGTTAGAGACCAGACTGGGCTACAAAGTGAGCTCAAGGCCAGCCTGAACTGCACAGGAGACTCTGTCTCAAAAAGACAAAAAAAAAAAGCAAAAGAAATATCCCTCCTTCTGTCCAAGGCTTCCACCCCTGCCTAATTTTCAGCCTTGCCCTCTCCAAAACCTCTTCAGAAATCTCGCTCCAGGGCTGGGGGTTTAGCTCAGGGGCAGAGCGCCTGCCTGGCAAGCACGAGGTCATGAGTTCGATTCCCGGTACAGGGGGCAGGGGGAGCTTAGGAGATCTGATGTGACCAGGATAGAGGCTCTCTTGTTAGCTGGGTGTGGTGGTACACGCCTGTAATCCCACCAGTTGGGAGGCTGAGGCAGGAGGATCGTTGTGAGTTCAAGGCCAGCCTAGGCTACAAAGTGAGCTCAAGGCCAGCCTGAACTACATAGCAAGACCCTGTCTCAAAAAAGACCAAAAAAAAAAAAGAAATCTCACTCCAAATCATCCCTGTTCTTTTCTACAAAGTCTGTCTTCTCTGAATATAAATATGCTCAAGTCCCTTTCATCTTGGTTTCTTTTTTTTTTTCCTGGTACCGGGAATCGAACTCACGACCTCACGCTTGCCAGGCAGGCGCTGTGCCGCTGAGCTAAATCCCCAGCCCTCAAGTCCCTTTCATCTTAAACATAAACATAAGCAGCCAGTCATGGTGGTGCAGCCTGCAGTATTAGCACTCTGGGAAGTGGAGGAAGGAGGATCACAGGTGTGAGCTCCACCTAGGCAACTAGTGAGACCTTATCTCAAAATTTTAAAAAATACATACATACACACATACACGCACATATATACACACACACATACATACATATAGTTAAGGTAAAGCCCCAGTGCAAAGTCCCTAGATTCAATGCCAAGTATAAATAAATAAATAAATTACAAAATAAGGAAAAATAACACTAGGCATCCTCTCTTTCTTTACACAATATTCACTCACCACTAAACTTGCTGTCTAAATCACTGCCCTGAAGTTGGTTTGCTGTTATCGTAGATGCCAGTATATACCATGCAGTCTCCCATTTCTAGCGTCTCTTTTCTTTTTTTTTTTTTTTT